GTTTCAGTTGTTAACACCTAAGTATGCGAATAAAACAGTTGGGGCTAATGTCCATCGTGGCTGTATACTGGAGGAGATAATTCAGTTGGTTACTGCTAATTATCAAAACATATTTGAGGGGGAGGAGTAATACATGCCTCCTTAAAAGTAGCAATTGTAAGACCACTGCTGAAAACTCTTGGTCCCCTTGTACTGGAATATTGTACCCCTGTTTTTCTTTTGCCCAGTGTGTGTGGTCCTATGGCTGGTGGCTTATTGGCTAAAAGCAGTGACTTATGAAATGGGTTGTCTAATGTGCATTCATGTCCTGCTTGCCCCCTTCCCATAGGAATCTTGCTTGCCACTGTGAGAGCACAATGCTGGATGGGCTTTTGGTCTGATCCATGAGGGCTCTTCTTATGTAAATCTATTTCAAGCCAAGGTTTGTGTTAAAGGCTGCCATTTTCCCCTTGGTGGTTTACCTGCACTGTTGGTCCTCATGGATCTCTCTGTAGCTTTGAGACTATTTGCTTTGGTATCCTTCTGGATCACCTGCATACATTATTAGTGAAGGTACTGTTTTACTGTAGTAGCAGTCAGGAGATGGTGCTGGAAGATAATTGGTCTTCCCTGTGGAAACTTTCCTTTGCAGTTCAGTTCTGCCAGGCTCCTCCTTGTTTTCCATGCTTCTTAACCTCTGCATGAACTGCTGTGAAAGATCATTTGAGGAAAGGAATCATCCATTTTATTGTATGCCACTTTGAGTGCAATTTTAATGCAGAAAAGTGGGATATAAATAAGTAATAATTAATGGAATTAAAATCTGCCAGAGAGATGTTGCCTCAGGTGGTACTGCCATCTGAAGTATCTGTAAATAGAGCTTTTGTGGCACTGGTATACTGCGTTGTGAAGTGTTCTGCTGAGGGAAATTCACTATTCCATTGTGATCTTTATGGATCCTTTAAAAACGTCTTTTTTAAAAATTCTGCCAGACTTTTTGAGAAGCAGGATTGGCTCTGGTTTAACAGGAGATGAATTGCTGCCAGCATTTTGTGTACTTTGTATTACAGATGAATGTTTAATGATGTTTTATGATTACTTTATTGTAAGCTCCTTTGAGGATCTTTATGGCTCAAAAGCAATCTTAATCTAAATCATAATCTAAATATGATGATATTGAGCCAGTCAGTTTACTTTTCCCTGTTAAAGCAACATTTAAGCTGTAATCCTATACTTGTATACCTGGGCGTAAGCCCCATTAAATTTAGTGGAAGTTTCTTCTGAGTAAACCTGACCTCGATGTGTCGGACGTGGGAAAGGCTGTGTGCGTGTGCTTCCCAAGGAGCTGAAGCCCTGCTCTTAACCAGGATGTTTGGTTTTCTTTTCCACCTTCTTTATTTTCTTTACTCACTTAGCCTCTTTTATAGAAACAAGCAATTTACCATTAGCATATATTTAAATGAATTGATATGCACAGTGGTTTTCCTGCTCCTCTGGGTGAGGCAGTGACCTTAAATAGGAGTTGCTAAACAACCAAATTTACTTACTTGTCTTTGCAGCTTTACAGGAGGTGTAAAGGATTATGCTTCTTATGTGCAATTGGTCATATGTAGTGTAAATAAAATTTACACACAAAAAAAACATTAAACCAAGGTCAGTGTGAAGGTAAATAATGTGGCTAGGTAATTACTTTAGTGTTTCTCTATTGGTATTTGATGTTCAGGGTCATTTGAGGAGTTTGGCTTCTTCCTTTCTATTACTGAAGTTAATGATGATTTCTTCTCAAAAGTTTATGCCTTTCCTTGTCTTGGAAATGATTCCATAATGGGAAAACGACTCTGGCAATGCTGTCTACTTTACTTTCTGTATTTTGAATCAATTCATCTTGACTAATTTCAATATTTACAAAGCCCTCTTTAACAAAAATATAGGGTACATCTACTTTTTCAAGAAGTACATCTACTTTTTCAAGAAGCCTTCCTGGGGTGGGAATATATAATGTAAAACCTTTAAATCCTCAAATAGCACGTAGGTAGCATAAAAGAAATGGGGGGGGGGACCTTTGGCAGAATGACAGGTGAGTGATTGGCGTCTGCGGAAATTGCCATTAGAATAGAGCGTTGACAAGGGCAACAAAAGCTTCTCAGGTTGCTGCTGTGCCTCAGCCTGAGTTGGATAAACAGCAGTAAGGACAAGGAAGAAGAATTTTCCATGCTCTTTCATGCAGGATTCTGCAGTCTGGGGTGATAATGATGACTTGTTGCCTCTTTTTCAGTACAGGCAAAGTATGGAAGCAGATTCTGAGCTGGGGAAAGCAGGCTGAGTCACAAAGAGGGTTGAAACTGTTTTCTTCTGCTCCACTGGGAAATGAATAGCACAGAACTGCTTCTTTGAATGCCATCAGCTCTTATGGAATGCTGGTGGTTTAAATGGCAGGTTTTGACTAATCTCCATTTATAGGTGGGGAGAAGGTCAAGGTTTGCAAATCAGGGTTGTTGGGAGTATTGCCACCTTGATTGCTGGGAATGGCTAGGCAGGGGAGTGCCAAGGATTTAAACAAAATAACCCTAATCTTCCTGTATGGCTGGGAATGTTCTACAAGATGACAGTCCTCTCTGAGCAAAGAGTGGTTTCTGGGACCTGGGCTGCAAGGCTGGGTGTGTGTGAGTGAGTGAGCGAAGAGGAGAGAGGGGGAGAGAGAGAGAGAGAAAGGAAAGAAAGAATAATTGTACTTTGAACTTGGGCAGAGAGAGAAGAGAGAAAATAATTTATCTGTCATTAGCTACACCAAGGTACACCCTTGAAAATGTCTGCATAAGAACATTAGAAGAGCCCTCCTCGATGAAAATGAGGTCCCATGTATAGCCCAGTCTTCTGTTCTCACAGTAGTCAACCAAGGGTGAAGCCAACAAACAGGACATAAGCACAATAAGACTCTCCCATTCATGATCTCCAGCAACTGGTATTCAGGGACATATATGGTAGCATGTAGCTATCATGACTGCTAGCCATTTATAGCCTTTTCCCTGATGAATTTATGTAATCTCTTTTTAAAGTCATCCAAGTTGTTGGACAGCATCACACCTTGTGGAAGCAAATCCCATGGTTTTAATGATGCACTGCATAAAGTAGTAAGATCAAGAATTCCTTTCTGGCAGTCTGGTGCAAAATTAGGTGTGCTTTTATCTCCATTATAGCCTGTAAGAGAGCACATCCCAGCTTCTGCCAACCTAGCAGTTTGAAAGCATATCTGTGCAAGTAGATAAATAGTATGACTGCGGTGGGAAGGTAAATGGCATTTCCGTGCGCTCTGACACTCGTCACGGTCCTCCGTGCACCAGTAGCAGTTCAGGCGTACTGGCCATATGACCCTGCCTGTGGGGAAACCTGCAGTGAGATGAGCACTGCATCCCATAGTTGCCTTTGCCTGGACTTAACCGTCTGGAGATCCTTTACCTTTTTACCTTTTTTATATTACAAAGTCCCCATAAGTCTCCAGGGGCCTCTCCCTTCACAGGAAACTAAACTTTGGAACTTCTTGCTGCTTGGGGAAGTGGGAAACACTTATGCCAAATGTTCTGTTCTTAGACACTTGAACCAGTCCCTACCCTTGCTCCCATTCTTGTCTTCCTTTATCAGATCCAGTCTTTGTTCTTTGTGTTTCCCCATATGTTGCATGCCCTCCTGACAAACAGCCGTGTCACCATCAAGTGTACAGAACCCACCACTATTGGCTTGAGATATGTGTTTAAACAATGACAATAATTCACATTTGACTGCAGAGGTTGGTAGTGTTTACTTTTAGGGTTTGGTCAGGGAGAGTGTATTTCATCTCAGATTCCTGAGTAGGACTTCCTGAAAAAAGTCAGTACTGTAGTGCTAAAATATAACTGAATGTAGATATGAAATCTGCCTGGGACATATACCCTGGATAGATTAAAAAGCATACTGGGAAAGGGGATTGGAGGGGCTGCTATTCGCAAGAGAAATCATGATATCCATCTGCACATAAAAATCTCCCAATGTGCTTTTTCCCATTTTACTTACTGAGGCTGTCTTTTCTGCATAGTGCTATATTGTGTGGCGAGGGTTGCTGCAGAGAAGTAGACATGCCGTAATGTGACACATAATTTTAATGGCAAGCCCTGCCAATATTAAAGATCATGGCCCAGGTAGGAACTTGATGGGGAAAATGGGAAGGACTAAAGCTGCTATTGTGAGGCCTCTTCCCCTGGCAGATGTCTGTGGGTGAGGTGGTGTCACCTCAGTAAGAGTCATTGGCTTATGTTTAAAATAGCTTAAGGCAGAATGTAATGGTAATAGTAGTCATACTTCGCATTTAGATAACTCTTTTCAAGTATTCAAATTCTTTATGTACTTTTATCTCTCAGTAATCACTACTGAGGAATAGGGACGCGGGTGGCACTGTGGGTAAAAGCCTCAGCGCCTAGGGCTTGCCGATTGAAAGGTCGGCGGTTCGAATCCCCGCGGCGGGGTGCGCTCCCGTTGCTCGGTCCCAGTGCCTGCCAACCTAGCAGTTCGAAAGCACCCCCGGGTGCAAGTAGATAAATAGGGACCGCTTACTGGCGGGAAGGTAAACGGCGTTTCCGTGTGCGGCTCTGGCTCGCCAGAGCAGTGATGTCACGCTGGCCACGTGACCCGGAAGTGTCTCTGGACAGCGCTGGCCCCCGGCCTCTTGAGTGAGATGGGCGCACAACCCCAGAGTCTGTCAAGACTGGCCTGTACGGGCAGGGGTACCTTTACCTTTAATCACTAGAATGGCCCTGCAAAGTCAACAGTAGTTGTAGTCTCCATATTGCAGTCTCCATATTGTTACTTTTGGGAAACCTCGGTGTCTGAATGATGTGTTGCTTTGGCCTAGCAATGTTGTTGCTATGTGCTGTGCCTCAGATGTATTTGCTGGTCGATCAACCTTTCATTTGGATGAAGTGCATTTTCCTGAATTGTCTTTCATGCGATTACTACTAAATTCCTCCATTCCTCTTTTCCCTTTCTTTCAGAGCCAGGATGAAAGATACGCTTTCATTGCAGAGTGGTATGATACAAATGCTTCACTTTTCCGACGCTATGAGCTTCTGTATTACCCAAAAGATGGATCAGTGGAGATGGTAAGACTTGTTGTTGTTATTTGAATTTCTATACCACCCTATACCCGGAGGTCTCAGGGCGGTTATAAGACAACCTTGCAGATTGCATTGGTTGAGAGCAAAATAGGCTACCCTTGGCATTATTGGTTTGATCTTATGTGAAGCCAAAAACACAAGAATTGCTATTCTCTCTTAGCCGCTAAATTGTCCTAGAAGAAAAAAAGCTTTTTTAGGGTCTCCTGATGATACCATAAAACATCTTGGTGGCGGTAGCGATAAAGGTTATTGTCAAACTAGGACTAATTGAACAGCCTTGCTTGAGATTCATTCATCCACTGAGTACATGGAAGACTTATTTTGAGCGCCGGCCATGGAGGCGTGAACCTATGATTCTGCTGCCTTCCCCAGGCTTCCTGTATGCATAGCTATTTACCATGGGGATGGTGAAAGCTTTGTCATGAACTGGCTCATATAAGGCAGTGTTTCTCTTAAATGAAGACACATGGCGCCACTGCCTCACTGAAGCTAAGCAGGTCAGGTGCCTGGACAGGCGACAACCTGGGAATTACATGCATGCTGCCTTGAGTTCAGTGATGGAAAGAAGGTGATATATGAATTTAAACTATCAAGCCAATATATGGTTTCCAAGGTTTGTCTAGCTTCACCTTATTGGCCTCTGCTTTAAGAGTAAAACTCCATTTTGGAAAGCTGAGAAGCAGCCATTTCTTGTTGGACATGTGTTAGAGTTTAATTTGCTGTGCTTAAATTCTGTTCTGATACACAGTATATGGATTCTGCCCACCTGTGTGCCCTCCTGTTTTTCATATTTTAAATGCTAGTGAGTATGTTACTGGGGATTGTATATAATGTCATTCATCAGATGCCCAGATCTAATTGGCTCAGGGACATAAAGGAAGACCTGGTGGTTGCACAGAAGACAGAGATTGTGGCTGATCATGTGGAGTCCTACCCATGTGATTCAAAGAGAGGATGGAGTTACCTTTCTTTTGTGCTCTTATATTCTCTTCTGCATTCTGTTTCAGTGAAATTGCCAATTACTGCAATTGTTCCTGGTGTCAGAAGAAACAAGATATAGTGTACTAATAATAGAAGAATCTAAATCAGGGAAAGAATGGCTGCATTTTATGCCAATAAAAATATTTCTTTGGTTATTAAGAGGGCATCTTAATTCTGAGTTATCAGAAACCCACTTTCCTCTTTGCAAACAGAAATTGGTTCAGTAATGCATCTACTTATATGGCCATCTTTCATTCCCTAAGGAATGCTTATCTTTACCAAGTTGCTAAAGAAGAAAGCAAGTGATAAAGGCAACTCAATGTAAGACATACTGTCAGTCAGATTATTACCCTATGTTAACCCCCTCCCCCAAATGTCCTTCTTAGAATTCAATTTCAGATGATTAATGATTTGTAGACCATTAAGATCTGGGACCCATGCACATAGCCAACAGCTCCTGTAGACAAGCTGATGTTGAAACTTATTGAGAGTTGGGCTGGTTTGGGAGGAAGAAGTTGGGGCGGGGGGATAAAACTAATTAATATTAATAGTAAATGGAAGCAGCAACCATCTGAAAAAAGGAGACATTCCAGTGTGCCTGTAGAAACTCATTCATGTGCCTAAATGGGATCTTCGGTTCTAAGCCGGCCTAGTTCACTTACTCTTGGTTATTAAAGAAAGCAACAGGGAGAGGAATAAATCTGCAAGCTGTATTTACCAAATCAGATGTTGATTTTGCTTTTGTTTACCCACTTTGCTCTGCACCTGCCTCTTTGTTTTAATCAGATTTATAAATAACCTAAGGTGTACAAAGCATATAAAAACCTCAGAGGAAGGGGAATTGTTTTGTTGTTTTTAATCTTCCAATTTGTCACACTTCTTGGTAGCGATTGAGAAGAAACCGGAGCATTTGCAGTAAATACCAGAAGCTCTGGCAAATATTATGGAACAGAGCCAGGAAGTAATTGGGATCCAGTATTTTGAAGGTACATTTGACTACAGTAGCAAGCCTACTATTGGATTTTGAATGCCAAATAAGCTAGAGTAAAAATAAGTTTTGTGCTCAGTCCTGTTCAGACATTCTGTGTTGAAGCAGTTTGGTTCCCCTTTCTCTCATGCCAAGTGCCTTCAGTTTGGGATAGTTATTGAAAGTATTTGTTTATTTGGAGTTATGATCTTCAGTCAATTTGAGGAATATCCAAAAGGTTACTTTTGAAAGTGATAAATGGTCAGACAACTCAGTATATTCAGTTATTGCTGTAGTACTATATGCAACTGGATCTGCTATTATGTGTTGGAGGGTGATGCTTCAATCCTGTGCACACTAACCGGAGTATAAGCTGTTTTGGACACACTGGTCTTATTCACAGTGGGCTTATTCATACCTTGTGTACGATAATTATAAATGATGATAATAAATGTGTACACTTAGTAAAAATGTAAAGGCATGTATACAATGTGTCTTCCTTTCTGGCTTGGAAAAAGTGACTCCATATAAAGATAATTTTCTCCATACATTTGCAAGTAAATATGCTCATCAGTAGGAATTGTTTTGAGGGAAAGCTATGAACAGAATTTGTTTTGCCATTTTTTTAAAGTATGGTTAAAACTGCAACCCCATAAACATTTACTTGAGAGTAAGTCCCATTAAGTTAAGATTACCAGATTTTTTTTCAGTTGAATCCAGCGACACTCTTCAACTGCCTACTAAATAGATAGATTTTGTCAGGCGACTGATTTATAATTTCGGGGACTGTCCCCAGGAAATGGGGATGTCTGGTAACCTTACATTAAATTCAGCCGGGCTTACTTCTAAGTACACATGTATATGACTGCACTGTGAAGCAGATCATTTAGTTCAGCTCATGATACCTCTATTTCTTATGTGCCTCAAACCATTTGGTATAGGTGCATTAGAAAAAGGATCTCTATAAATGCAGATTGTGAAGTATTGTAGAATCCAGTACTTCAGAATCTTGTTCTTTAATTATTATTTTTTATGTATCCCTCTTACTTTCCAAGGAACTCAAGGTGGCTACCAAGTCAGAATACAAAAAAATAAATCTAAAACAACTCCCAGTTTATTTTTTTAAAAAGATATTTATTAAAGTTTCAAACAATAAAACAAACTTCACAAAACAGAATAAGAAAAAAGAAAAAACACCATTCAAAAAACAGAAAACACAGTAAAAAACCCATCATAAAAAGCAAAAGAAAAAAGACATAAAAAGACATAAAAAAGAAAAAGCCAGTTTCTTAGATATTGTTCTCATAATCCTCTTTCCAGACTCCCTCGCATCTCCCTTTTCTGTGTTCCCTTTTACAGAATCTTATTCAGCAATACCTCACCTTCTTTCAACTCTTATTTCATATTATACATTTCAACTATTATGCCTCCAATTTTTCCCCATTTTTTCATTTTGTTTAAGTTTGACATAATATTATTCTGACTTCACCTTTGTTCTGTAAACCATTTTTACATACACCTTTCAACTATATCACTAATACCATATTATCTAACAACTCCCAGTTTAAATCCCATAATAAAAATTAAAAACCAAGAAAGCACAGTAAGTCTAGCACAGCCAAACACCAGGACCTCCCCCTCAACCAGCCATCAGCCAGCTAACTTTTTGAAGAGCTATGTCTTTTCTAGCCATGACCTTAGCACCAGTTCCCTTCCTATTGAAAGAATATAATTTGGGGGCCTGACACATTTTGCTAGGCATTCTGCAGGATAGGTATCATCCTAGAGTACGTCCTAGCACTGGTTGCCATCAGCCTTGCCTTCTGAAGTTGAAGAATCTGCAGCAGTGCCTCAGATGAAGTATGGAGCCTTCAGAAAGAAATGTATGGAAGGAAGTGGCTCTTAAGGTACCCAAGTCCCAGGCTGCTTAGTGCTTTAAAGCCCTAACCCCAAGCAACTTGAATCGAGCACAGAAGCAAACTGGTAGCAGGTGCTAGTTTTGAAAAATTGGCACGGGCACATAACAGCAGTCAAAGTAACTTTTCGAAAACAGTATCTGTTTCTCTTTGTGCATGATATTTTTCTTCTTCTTTTTAAAAGCAAAGGTATTTTAGACCTGCATGTAGATTATTCAGTCTCTTTACCTTACCAGTATGACATGAAGAACCGCTGCCGATTTCTAAATCGCATCAAATATGAAGATCTGCAGTTTAAAGATTTGTTTGTGGGCAACAAAATTACTATCTTCTCACGCCACCTCAATTTGGTTGACTATGGGGATCAATATACTTCCCGCATGTTGGGCAGTCGCAAAGAAAGGTGAGAGGATATCTTCTTTGAACCTCTTATTTTCTACCTTATAAACTTGAGGCTATTGAGATGTCTGTACTCCTTCATTCTCTGGCTGGCCAGGGTGCCTGGATCAGCTGGTAGCCTCCAAGAGAGAAAGGGCAAAGAGAGAGCCTTGCTACAGTGATTGCTTATTAGTCAGGGATGCATCCTCATTTCCTCTCCTCTCTCTGTGCATGACAATAGCGCACAGCCCTCTAGGAGTTTATTGTCCAAATGTCACACTAGTTAAAGCACAACACCCACTCCTCAGCAAACTCTTTCTCTCCACTCCCTAAGGAGAAAGAGCGTGATGTGCACCCCCTAAATTCTGGTTATATTTCAGTTACCCTTCAATCTCTGCGGAAAGAATAAGAACCTTAAGTGCTAGCACTCAAGTGAGATAGCAAGATACTCCCTGGATGTTGATGATTAATTTGTTAATCATCTTCTATATAATCTTCTTAAGGCTATAAACAATAAAAATAGTATATTACCTTAGAGGGTTGTCAAAAGCCAATATCTCCCTCAGCTAAGTGACCCTCCAGCCCACAGTGTGAGAAAGAATATTAATAATGAACGTTACTGTGATGTTGTCACAACCCAAAATACCTCTCTGCAGCCCCCTCTCTATTCAGTATGGGAATAATAGAACTGCACTACAAAAGAGCAGGAGACAGGGAGACCCTCATTTTCCTGGTGTGAGACACCATGATTACTGCCCCCCAATATTCCAATTTAACAGGCCTCCAGAGGGCAAGGCAGAAAGGGCAGCCATCACCCAAGTGCACATCCTGTTGCCACCATTCTCCCCTTCCCATCCAACTTTTTGTCATATGTGCCACTTGAGAGCCAGCATGGTGTAGTGCTTAAGAGCGGTGGACGTAATCTGGTGAACCAGGTTCGCTTCCCCGCTCTTCCACATGCAGCTGCTGGGTGACCTTGGGCTAATCACACTTCTCTGAAGTCTCTCAGCCCCACTCACCTCACAGAATGTTTGTTGTGGGGGAGGAAGGGAAAAGGAGATTGTGAGCCGCTTTGAGACTCCTTAAGGTGAGTGAAAGGCGGGATATCAAGTCCAAACTCTTCTTCCTCTTCTTCTTATTGTACTGGTCAGATATTTGATCCAAAACCTTCAGCTGGTTATATGAAGGATAAAAATGCATATAACAGACATAATAACATATTTTTGAAATGGTATTTGTTTAGTTGGAGATTTACTTAAGCTCATATTTTGACAACTTATTTTGACTTTATTGGTTTCTTTCCCTTCCCTCTCTAGAACCTTGGCTTTATTGAAACCTGATGTAGCACTCAAACTTGGAGATGTCATTGATATGATTATTAGAGCTGGTTTTACAATAACTAAAGCCAAAATGACAAAAGTTTCAAGGTGAGGTTTTAATAATTTGAGATTTTCAAAAATCGGTTAAACTATTGTTTACCTTGAATGGGTGACTGTTGCCAACCTATATCTCCCCATGTTACCTGGTCATGTTCCATTCAAGCGGATCTGTGAATCCAACATGCACAGCATTTTCGTGCTCTGTCCATCCCCTCCACAAACAGCAGCCAGTAAATCAGAGGGGAGATGGGAAAGGCTGAGCAACATTAAGTGATATCACCCATATGCTGTAACTGAATACTAGAGGAAGATGCAGGGAGGAGATTCATGAGATGGCGGCAGCCATGTATTTAAGATACTGTATCCCTTTGGGTCCTAGCCGTGATCCAGACAGATGTGGTGAAGTATATGTGGTCCAGAGAGATGTGGTGCAGCACTCTGTATGCTTCTGCATATGCATATCTTGTCATATGGGATGCAGGTGGCGCTGTGGTCTAAACCCAGTGGGCTTGCTGATCAGAAGGTCGGCGGTTCAAATCCCAGCAATGGGGTGAGCTCCCATTGCTCTATCCCAGCTCCTGCCAACCTAGCAGTTTGAAAGCACGCCAGTGTAAGTAGATAAATAGGTACCGCTCCAGCGGAAAGGTAAATAGCATTTCCGTGTGCTGCTCTGGTTCACCAGAAGCGGCTTAGTCATGCTGGCCACATGACCTGGAAGCTGTACGCCAGCTCCTTCGGCCAATAAAGCGAGATGAACTTCGAAACACCAGTCGTCCGCGACTGGACCTAATGGTCAGGGGTCCCTTTACATATGTGTGTGTGTGTGTGTGTGTGTGTGTGTGTGTGTACGCCGGCCTGAAAGTGAGATGAGCGCTGCAACCCCATAGTTGCCTTTGACTGGACTTAACCATCCAAGTGTCCTTTACCTATCTTGTCAGGGTTCATGCCCCAAACGACCCAGGGCCTGCTCTGCTCTGTTGGAAGCAGAGTAGTTAGCTCCAAAACAATGCCTGCTTCCAAAAAAATCCCTCAGACTCAGTAATCTTCATTAGTAAAATATTTACTAATGGAAAAATAAGCTTGGCGGTACAATTCCAGATCCCTGGTGGAGTGTGCAGAGACCCCTGAGTGAAAGCCTGGACTGCTGCTCCCAGCTTGTAGAGGTAGTACTCAGCCTACTCAGTCTGACTTGGGATATGGCAGCTTCCTTTGATCCTGTGAGGGTTCAGAGAAACCTGATGGCGCAAGCAGAACTCTGCTTGTGGTTCTGTGGGTGAAGCCATTGCTGATTAATAATTGTTTTTCACAGAAGCATTAATGATGCGTGTTTTTAAACAAATCTTTTGTAGGGCAGAAGCAATAGATTTCTACGCAGATCACCAAGCTAAGCCTTATTACAAGTAAGTTTCAGTTTGCAGGATGTTTTGACTTGTACAATGTGCCCAGTGAAATATGAAGAATATGAAATTGACGTTGATTTTTGCTTGATCTTTAGATTTAGATTTATACCAATAAATTGTGGGTAGTATTTTTAGAGGTATATGGGACTGTGGAGGCTTGCAGGGTTGGCTTACCTCCGGGTTTCTCCCCACAATCCTAAAACCGAGCAGAAGCAGCAGCTGCCATATACTGAGTCATGGTCAATGACAGCAGTTACAACACCTTACCTTGCTTATTTAACTTGCAAAGCCTTAAATAGTTTGGAATCAGGTTATTTGAAGGATAACATAAGAATTTAGTTTCCAATGGCTTGCTAAGACCTATCAGACTGGCAAATACCAGAGACCGGACCTTATTTAGTAGTGGCCCCTCATCTATGGAAGCCTCTCTCAAAAGAGGGACCTATAGCCCCATTCATTTAAAAAAAATGCGAGGACTTCCGGGTTGACGCGATCTGGAAATGGCGGATTCCCTCCGAGCTGCGGAGGGAATCGGCTTTACCGAGGACGGGTCTTTGCCGCGCCGGCGACGCGGGGACCCTTAAAACCGCAGGCGCGGAAGCCTGCGGACTGAGGACTCGGCGGGTGCCTTAAGCGCCCCCCCTGATTCACGAAGAGCCTTTTTAAAGGCTGCGGAGAGGATACGGGGGTGGCGTGGCACTGAGAGTCGATCGCTACCTCGGTGGAGCGAAGCCGCGAGCCATGACCAGAGAGCGCTGACTTCCTTCCTTGAAAATTTGGACTGAAAGAATCACCCGTGAGTAATACGGATTGGGATTTTAAAAATTTTTTACCCTGAATTGGAGACGACCGGGGGGTGTGCTAAAAGGAAGTCCGCACCCCCCCCCCTGCAGACGATCTAAGCAACGGCATAAGAGCTAAGCTGGAGAGCCTACCCTTGGTGGGGTGAGTTAAAAAGGACATTATCTTTCGAGATTTAGCTAAAGGAAATTTTGGGCTGGAGAGTGGAGTTTTGGAAACCTTCTTTTTGTTTTAAACAACCCCCCCTCCCGGGCTCGGGAACGTCCTGCCTTTGTGCCTGTGTAAAAGCTGCGGAGTTTGACAGCTGTCAAAGCTGTCAAACGGGCGGTTTAAAGCGGAAAAATTGCTATCTAAGATTCCTCTGGATTAAGACGAGTTATAATTGAGCCAAAATCGTTGGAAACAAAGTAATAATAATAAGTTAAAAGACTGTTGGAGAAAAGACTAATAAGTAACCAGATTCCCCCTAGGGGAATTCTGTGAAACTACAATGGATACAATGGCTGTGGAAGGAAAGTTACTAGTGGAAATTGAAAGGATGTTTCAATTGGTGGGAACCTTACAAGAGCAGAGTTTGGCCATGAATAAACAACTTGTGACTATGACCTTGGGAACAGGCAACTCTGCTGTTTGTATTGAGGACCTGAATGAGAAAGAATCCACAGCTGAATGTGAAACAATATCTACAGAGGTGGAAGAGACTAAACAACAAGAAAAAGCGGAGTGGACATCTGTGGAACACAAGCAAGGAGACTCTGGGAACACATCTACCACAAGTCTGCGAAAGATACAGAAGAAGAAGGAGGAGGCCCTGGGACAACATGGAAAACAGGAATTTAAAATAAAGAAATATGATTGGGGCCTCCATTTGGACTTTGACTTTGAAGACACAGACTTAGTGGGAACTTTTCAGCAGTTACTGTCAAACCTCCTTGTGGGAAGAGAATATTTTTTGATGGTGAAAGAACTTTTTCCAGACTCGACGACTGACATAAAGGACTACCAACAAGACAGGCGGAGAGGGACTGAAAGGGACTTGAAAGCCTCGGACGTGAGGAACCCAGGCTGAGAATTTTGATTTTGGATTTTTATCGGGAAGGGACAAAAACCGGGGATGGGAGGGAGGGAAGAGGAGATTCCTAAAAACTCTGAAGATTTGTAGGTTTGGTTAATATGACTTTTAATTAAGATAAAATGAAAAATCGATGGAAGAGAACTTAAGTCCAACTTAGGAAAATCAATGTTTTATTATAAAAGAGGTAATAAGATGAATAAGATGGTTAAGAGGAGAAATACCAACTTGCTGATATAATCTTGGGAACTGGAATGCACGAGGGGGGTGGGGGGAAGTCCGGGAACAAGGTTATGAAACGGGGATTTGCTGATTCTATACATGTTTTTGTCTTGTGTTCTTTTTTGTGTGTGTTTTGTTTCTATAAAAGCAGAAAACCCAATAAAATTGTTATAAAAAATAAAATAAAAAAAATGCACATTTTTTTTAAAAAAAGATGTGTTTCATTCTGCATTTTATTGAGGTGTTGACTGCTGTTTTTCAAACTGTTGCTGTTTTTAGTTTGGAATGGCATGGGTTTGTTTGTGTATTAACATTTTCCTTGTGTTGTTAAATAATTTCATAAACCTCCTTAGGAAGGCTTTGCCCTGAAATGCCTCACGTATATTTCTGAAATATAAAGAAATTATTCGGCAATTGATGCTTTTTCCTCATTACTAGGCAAATGAGAAGGGCTAGTAGCTCAGTGATAGAGTGAATGCTTTTGCACTGCTGTACAGCATATGTTCATGTGTGTGTTCATGTGTGTATTTTGTTAATGGGAGCCACTTTTTATTTTTAATATTTATATTTTATTAAGGTGATTTCAGTTAAAAGAAATAAAGTGATACAGAAAAAGAAGAAGGAAAAGTGAGAGGGAGAAAAACAACAACAACAAAGATACATATAAAAGCGAAAATATGAAAAAAGCAATATACGATATTGAACCCAGTTACCCATGTTTGAGCAGCAACAATGAGTGGAGATTGACAGAGGGAGAGGCTTACTATGCAGCCCAGATAAATTTGGCAAGCCTTATTTGTCCTACAGGCTGCCAGTTCATGAAGAACTAGGAGCCTGGCACTTATGCAACTACTTGATCTGAAATAAAACAATGATAGGATAAGAACTTGGGTATTTAAGGGAGTCTGCTTTCAGCTCCAGTGCAGACTCTCTTAAAAGATTAGACAGAAATTATTCCAGATGTTGTTGCCTGAAGGTAGTAGAACAAGCAAGCTAGAACTTTTTGGGAACTCATGTGAAATTGTGGTTTTGTTGCAGCTTTGTGTTTAGAAAATGGCTAATTATATGCTGCATTATATCCAACACTGCAAACAGTTCCACTCATACAACAGGACCCCTTCTGTTCCTAATAATAATAATAATAATAATAATAATAATAAAATAATTTATTATTAAATATATTATTAAATTATTAAATTTATTATTAGTATTATTAATTTTTTTTATTTATACCCCACCCATCTGGCTGGGTTTTTCCAACAAAAGATTAAAAATACATGAAAACATCAGTCATTAAAAACTTCTCTAAACAGGGCTGCCTTCAGATGTCTTCTAAACGTCAGATAGTTGTTTATTTTTTTGACATCTGATGAGAGGGTGTTCCACAGGGCGGGCGCCACTACCAAGAAGGCCCTCTGCGTGGTTCCCTGTAACTTGGCTTCTCGCAGTGAGGAAACCGCCAGAAGGCCCTCAGCGCTGGACCTCAATGTCTGGGCAAAATGATGGGGGTGGAGACACTCCTTCAGGTATACTGGGCCTAGGCCGTTTAGGGCTTTAAAGGTCAGCACCAACACTCTGAATTGTGCTTGGAAACGCCCCCTACATTAAGGTTACCAGACGTCCCCGTTTCCTGGGGACGGTGCCCAGATTTACAAATCAGTCCCCTGACAAAATCCATCTTATTTAGTAGGAAGTTGAAAAGTGTTCCCGGATTCACTGAAAAAAATCTGGTAACTTTACCCTACATGCCCTCCCCCCAAATCTCCTCCAGAGGGTTCCCCAGAGGGTTGAAAAGAAAAATAGGAGGAAGTTCCATTGTGTAAGGAGAGGTCTGTGTGCAGGACAAGTGTGTTGCATACCACCCTTGGGGCTGTTGGTTTGCTTGCATTTCGGGCAGCTGAATCCCATTTGAATGTCCTGTTCAATGTGAATGCTAACTGTTCTCTTTTCTGCTTGCAGTGAGCTTCTTGAATTTATGACAAGTGGCCCCGTTGTTGCCATGGAGATCTTGGGAGATGATGCTATAAGCCGATGGAAGAATTTACTAGGACCTGCAAATTCTTCTGTGGCCCGTACTGACGCCCCAAATAGCGTTAGGGCATGTTTTGGAACTGATGGCATAAGAAATGTAGCTCATGGTCCAGATTCTTTTTCTTCTGCTGCTAGAGTAAGTCCCCCTCCCAAAAATTATATATTTGATAAGGTGAATCTTTCTGCATCTGGATGACTGGGCTTCTACTGGCATATATATTATACAAAAATGAGTTTGGCTGCTTCCAATGTTTGTGGTCTGAGCTTGGTTTAGCTACATGGCATATAGTAGCTATGTGGCTTAGCTCATCAGAAAGAAAGAAAATACTCACCCCTGCCTTTTCTCCCCTTACCATGCAGAGGCAAAGGAGACCCTTTCTCAAAACTCTTCTAGAGAACCTGTGCTTGACAATCTCTACAGGATATTTAAAGAAATGTTAGGAAAGGAAAAGGCTTCCTTCCCCACTGCCTGCCTTTATGCTGGAAAGAGGCATGGGTGGACTTTGGTAATAAGGCCTTGAGTAAGGACGAACCCCCCTTGCTTACTTTCATGTCCCCATCCCTCTCACCTTCTGTTCTGCGCATGCTCTCAAATGCGCTGTGTCATAGTTGCAGCATATTTTGTGCCCCTCGGCTTGGTACCCTGTGTGGAAGAACCACCCGCCCCACCCTAAATCCAGCATTGATGGGCTGGCTGCCATGTACCTTAAATGTATGAGGTGACCGGGGCTTTTTCGCTGTTGTTTAAAAGAAGGAGACTGTGCTGCTTTGCGCCTGTTCCCTTCGCTTCCCAGAAGGGCTACAGCAAGGAAATGCAGTACAATACTGTATTGCTCTGAGATTACTCTAGGAAGTGTGGCAGGCAACTGCGTGATGTTTTGCATCACTGAATCTTTGCTAGGGAGTGGCCATAGAAGAAGTTGTGCTGTGTGCGGTGAAATCGCCTTCTTTTAAAGAAAATCAGAACAGCCATCAGTCAACTCATAAAGCTAAGCTGAATGGCAGCCCCTCTCCACACCCCAGGCTATTTGGGAGCCTCCTCATTGGTGCAGCATCCCAGACCAGCATCCCTTGTCTGACCCTGACAGACAGATTGATATTAACAGATGATAATATTGGAGCTTGGTCCCCCCCCCCCAATCTTGTGAGAGTCAAAGCTGCATGTCGATAAGCAAATACACTAAGGAACAGCTCAGAAGTTTAATGACCTTTTGTTGCGGTGGATTACGAAGCCCATCTGAAAGTTCTCTGCTGGAACTGTGGCTTGACTAAAGGCCAGGCTTCTATATATATCTTTACAAGCCATAAGAAAACAGAATGGACAAAAGAGCACCTTTGAGCTTTGCTCTTCAATACCTGTTTTGCTTTCCATGGAAACACGTTTCTTACGGCTGTCAGGAGTAGCTAAGAATAGTGTTGCGCACAGTGCCTTAATTACTCACTTATTTGTTCTCTGTGGAATAGCAATTGCTTGGGAACTCTGATATTTTTCTGCCTCCCTTTATTTTTTTTGTTAAAATTAGTTATTTTAATGTAGGATGCTGGACAAATAGAAGAATCAACATTTTTATTTGTTATATTACATACATATTCATAGCACTATAAAATGCATGTAACTAAGGAACTACAAAGTGTGAAGGCAAAAGAAAGCTGGTGTAGTCCTTGGCACTTGGATGTATCCCCACCCCAGCAACTATTCAATAAGAAACTTCTTTCCCTAGTTTCCAGTCTTTACTTCTCATTTTTGTTACCTTCTTCCCTCCACTAACTTCTCCTTATTTTGTTGGGCTCAGCAGAGGGAGGGAAGTGACTATAGGTTCAGGTTCCTGGCATTGTTTGTGCACTTGCTGGTGTAGCAAAACATCTGGCAGTCACACATCTGGTCTTTGTAAGCCTGATGCTGTGGAACTCGTAGCTGTCCAATGGACAGACCAGTTGTGGCAGAAAAGTGAGGTCTCTGGAGCTGGAGTAGCATATATAGACTCTGGAAAGTACACCAGTACATTACTTTGGGCTATTTAGAGGACACATGAACGCTAAAATAAAAGTATATAGGCCTGAAAGAGAAGGCAAACTTTGAGAGGAAGAAAGAAAGTTTAATATCTTGGAGCATGCATTTAAAATGTGAGTGTGTGCTCTCAAACCCATCACAGCACCTTGTAACAGCTGATTCTCATACCAAGATCTCCACACATACTATATTATTGCATTTAGTTTAAGTCTCTGCTCCACCTCATGTGTGCCTTATTAAGCTACCCTGAAGTCAACTGTCTTTTGCTGATTTAAGCACCTACAATTTGTTAGCAACTGTGCAAAACAAACCTCCATAGCTTATGAAATTGGTAAGCTATGAACTACAGTACATTGCAGCTCTGTGCTCATGTGTGTGCGCTTAACACTGCATGTGCTCTGGAGGAAGAGAAGATGCTTCCAGCACCACCCCACTCAGATGTTGAACTGGAGAGAGACTTGAACCCTAAAGAACAACAGCGCTAGCAATTCACATTAACAACATTTTAACAGGCATTTCCCAAAAAGTAAAAAATAGGGACAGTTTAGATCAGAGAATAGGGACCGTTAGTAGCCAATGGGTATTGAGGAGCATACTGGGAAGCCAGCTAGCTCAGTTTGTTAGCTGGTGCTGGTAACGCCAGGATTGCAGGTTCGATCCCTATATGGGTCACCTGCATTGCAGAGGGTTGGACTAGATGACCTTTGGGTACCTTCCAACTCTACAGTTGTATGATTTATTGCTGTGTTGATGTTTCTTTGCCCTGGAATGCTGCAGGGATCATTTAATAAAGGCTGAGAAAGAACAAAATGGTGGCAAATTGAGTTATTTTAAAATGCTTTTGCCTTGGAGGGATTACAGCTGTGCTTTTAAAAATATAGTTCATTTTTCACTCTTGAACTAACTATTTAGTTGCACAGTTCTCTTAGACGTGATTACAAATTCTAATACCCTAGTGTTTTTGTTTTACTTCATAATTATTGGAGTGATGCACAGTGGTTCGGATTGTGTATTGAATGAGCAGGTAGCACAAACTGTTATGTAGCCTTGTACCAGTTACCAAGGAAACCTGTAGGATGCAGCATCTGTAAATTGTTCTGGGAAGAAAGAAATAGCTATTAAAGTCAACCTGGACTAAATCGTTTGCCCTGCATACAAATGAAGAGACCACCTGTTCGAATTTGTTATAGTTAAAGGTTGCTTTGTTCCTTCCCAACCAATAGTAGGTTGCATTTACAGTTTGTCACCTGCTGAGTTATCCAGGGCAGTATCTCTATCGGCATGTGAGACATACCACTTCTAGTGTTTGCTTCTGCTTTTTGTGAGTTTTGTAACCATGGGTGTGAGGTTTTCCATTCCCGGGGATGGAGAGATTCCAGCACTCAACCTTGCAAGATGGCCAGGAACATCTCACCATGGGTTGGTCTCTGTGCTGTTGACTTTCCCCCCCTTCCTTCAAGCCTTGTCTCTCCCACTTGCGGAGATGGGGATATAGTTGCCCTTTCTCTTCTCCTCTCGGCTGGCTGTGCCTGTCCTTTTTTCTGCCTGTGAATCTTCCACTCCTATCCTCTCTGTTCTCCTCTCACTCTTCCAGTGCATCACTTTGTATCTCTTCTCCCAAGGGAGGGGAAGAAACAAGAAAGCAAAAGAGCAGGCACCCACAATTCTGATGCCTTAGGCATTCCTTAGGCATACTAGATGGTCTGAAAGATGTCATTGGGGAAAAGTGGCTTACAAATATGATTATAGAGCCGCTCTACAGTTAAGGCAAGAATTTTTTTCAACATTTTGTCATTACAAAGTCTGAAAATTATGTTAATCACGAAATCCAGGTAATTTGTCTTATTGGTACAAAACCTGGCATGGAGAATTCACCTTGTGAAGGGTGCTTGCCAGGAAGAATGGAGTTAGTGTTTTAAAACTGTTGTATTGAAGGACAGATGCCCTATGTTTGTGCTCACTCAGAACATATCTTAAATTATGGAAGGTGAGTAGTTCCCTTTGCATAGGTAGCAGCATGAGCAAATTTGAACGTGAAGCTTAATGGAATACCATATGTGTATGGGGTTTAATGGAGTGTAAGTGTAAATATGTTCAAAACCATGCTTCTGGAGGAAAGCGTCACAGAGCACTTTGAAATACAGCCATCGGCTAGATAATAATAAATGGGGGAGGACATAGGATTTCAGTATTGCTTTGGGAATATGACTCTGACCCTCATAAACATAACTGGTGTCCTATGACTATGAATCATGCACTTGTGCACAATTAAATGTATTTAATTCCAATTACTTTCAGGAGCTGGAGTTGTTCTTTCCCTCCAGTGGAGGCCGTGGACCTGCAAACACTGCAAAATACACACACTGTACTTGTTGTGTTATTAAGCCTCACGCAGTTAAAGAAGGTAGGTGACACTGACCTGACCCTCAGCTGAAAGTGCCCTTCAGTATCTCTCTTCTTAGCTGAATAGCTGCCTTAGATTTAGACTTGCACTATTGCTACCATATGTGTTTTGTGCATGGCTGGAGGTAAGAAAGTTATGTTTTTATTTTATTTTAGATCACAGCTTGTTGACATTTAACACAGACCAAATTGCATAAATACTAGCATTTGAGAAATTATGTTTAACAGCGGTTGATGTTCTCTGTACTTCTACAAGGCTGCATGCTAATATGTACTTGTGTAAGGCCTATGCATGTGTAAGTAGCAAAATACCACACAACCTGTAATGTCTGACCTCCTTGTTGTTGTTTAGTCATTTAGTCATGTCCGACTCTTCATGACCCCATGGACCAGAGCAAGCCAGCCACTCCTGTCTTCCACTGCCTCCCGCAGTTTGGTCAAACTCATGCTGGTAGCTTCAAGAACACTGTCCAACCATCTCGTCCTCTGTCGTCCCCTTCTCCTTGTGCCCTCCATCTTTCCCAACATCAGAGTCTTTTCCAGGGAGTCTTCTCATGAGGTGGCCAAAGTATTGGAGCCTCAGCTTCAGGATCTGTCCTTCCAGTGAGCACTCAGGGCTGATTTCCTTCAGAATGGATAGGTTTGATCTTCTTGCAGTCCATGGGACTCTCAAGAGTCTTCTCCAGCACCATAATTCAAAAGCATCAATTCTTCAGCGATCAGCCTTCTTTATGGTCCAGCTCTCACTTCCATACATCACTACTGGGAAAACCTCCTAACCAGAGGCAAATGAAGAAGAAGCCGAGTGGGTGGTGGTGACCCAGATGCTGAGTGTCTGTGATGCCCTTGCCACACTTCCATCTTGGTAACTTTGTTCCCTTCGTCTGGACGAGAAGAAGCATTCTTTGACAGACTAGGTAACAAAGCATTTTGCGACAGAGTAGCCCAACTCCTAAAGGGCTGCAAGATGGCCTCAGTGTACACCATTGTTATACACACACACCCGGCATCACCTTTCTTGGAAATACGTTCAAACAGATGATATTCCCCCTTCTGCCAAATAAAGCAATCAGGGCAAGGGGAGACTTTGAATTGGAGGACATAGATGCACTTCCTTTTCAGGTCACTTGGGTACCTGGAAACATGTCCAACAGAATTTTAGCCTTCCCTTAAACCAGTTATAATCTGGCAACGTCTGGAGAGCCACAAACTCCCCATGCCTGCCTTAGACTAATTTACACATGCAGTACTAAAATACAGAGCGGCACTTAAAAATCCTTGTGATTTATTGAAAACATATTATTTTTGGTGGAGTTCTTTGTGTTGTTTCTTCATCAGATCAGCTGAAATGGTTGATGTCTAAACATAACCTTATATAGAAAACTGCTCCCTTTCCCTACCATCAACCATTGGGAAATGATTAAGACTGTTTACAGTATGATTATATGCTTTGGTTCAGCTGCTGATAATTTCTAAAACAAATTTGTATAAGAAGTAAATGCTAATCAGAACCTTATTGTGATCTATGCAGCCTTTGGGGCATTGTAGTTTTTAGACCCCTCTTCCTAAAAGCTGATATGGAAGATTCGACATCAGGTTACCAGGCATTTGAGAGGGCAGCTGGAGCATATTTAAACTTCTTACAAGTGAAGATTCTGTGGCTTTTCCACCACTAGGCAACTGTCATAAACCATTATATGGTGGGATAAGGCACATGTTAATCAGTATGCGTCAGCTGTATTCAAGTTATCTAAAGCCAGCATTCGCTGTTTTTCTAAATGATGTCTAGAGGAAGTCATGTTAGTCTGTTGCAGAAAATATTACAATTCCATGTGGCAAAATGATTTGCATGGTATCTTATCAATCCAAAATGCTGGTGCCTATTATATGACTTATGGGTACTTGGGAAAAGATCTGCATATTTCTTAGTAACAACCCTTCTACTTGCCTTACTTTAAAAAACTAAGGCTGCAATTCTATATCCTGTTACCTTGGAGTAACTAGCTGATCTCACTGGGACTTAATTCTACATAGACAAATATAGGATTGTGCTGTCAAAACAGCCAGCACCCATCCTGTTTCTGCTGGAACTAATCTGACAATTGCAAATAAAATCTGTCCATTGCATTATTGGAAGTTGCTCCCAGATACTTAAATACATCACTCCTCTCAGCTGTCTACCATCTTTCAGTGCAACGTTTGCTTTTATTATTTAAAACTGTCTTTTCTTCCTGCCCTTCTACTTTGTTATGGAAATAATGGAAGTGCTTTTCAGAGATTGCCAATGCCTACCTTCAAGAGGCCTGCAACTGTTCAGTTTTTACATGTATTTAAATGCACACATTGTTGTTTTTCTTCTTAATTTTTCATCTAAATTTTTCCACCATCTACTGATTAAAAATATTGGTCATACAGTGGTACCTTGGGTTACTTAATTCGTTCTGGAGGTCCGTTCTTAACCTGAAACTGTTCTTAACCTGAAGTCCCATTTTAGCTAATGGGGCCTCCCACTGCCGCCGTGCCGCCGGAGCACGATTTCTGTTCTCATCCTGAAGCAAAGATCTTAACCCAAGGTACTATTTCTGGGTTAGCGGAGTCTGTAACCTGAAGCATGTGTAACCTGAGGTACCACTGTAATTTAAAGCCGAGACCATGGGTTTTTATCTTTTCTCTGTCCTTATTGTGGGCTTTTAGCTTCAGTTCACTCAATAATAGTGGAGGAAGACACAGATGCTCACCTGGATTTCTCATTTTTAAAAGTTTCTGGTGTAATGGGGTTTGAATCTGTCCTTGGCAAACCTGATACAAGCTTTGTCTTGGGGGCCTCTTGGTACTGCTGAGGACCTCATGTTTCCTGCAGAGAGCTGATTCTCAATGGCTGTGAAGTCCTCTTGTATCTTAGCTTTGCTTTTCCACCTGAACCCATGTTTTGGGAGCCAAGGTAGATGATGATTTATGTCTTTGGCTTAGTTTTTTGTATTCCCCTCCTCCTCCACTATGGTGGTTTCTCTAGATCTTAGCTGAGACACATATTCAGTCCACGTGGAGTGAGCTACTGCCCATGTGCAGCCTTGTTTAATAAAGGAACAAAAATAAGGATTATTGGTTGACCCTGTATCTTGTGACTTTGCAAGAGAAATCCTGTGCTCAGAATGTGCTTTCCCTGCACTTAGTAACCACAGACAATGGTTGCTGTTCCCAATCTGTAAAGATGGGTGAGGGCTTCTAAATTAAGCAGAGTATATCTGCTGCAGCTTCTTAGAATTTAATCACAGAGTGAGGCAGTTGATTTTCCAGGTCCGTCAGCTGTGCCAAATTTATCTGTGTTGTAAGTACTGTATTATGCTTTGAAGGCAATCGTAGTGAGATATAATTGAGGACAAGCAGAGTGGCGAGACCCAGAATGCAAAATGCATACCTTTTTCCCATGGTGTTTTGCATAAATTGTAATTCAAAAGGAAGTCAGCTAACAGGAACATGATTATAGTTTCAACTTAGGTTGAGATCTAAGAGATCAAAGTCCACAGGCTCTATATGAATTATTATACATCAGCTGAATTGGCAGTGCAAAGTCATCTACAGATCATATCTTAAGAACCGTTAAAGCACTCCCATAATGTATGTTCTTATTGGACTTATGCCCAGTAAACTGAGGTTTTGATAAGGGAACTCTGGGATTTACCAACAACCTTCCTCCCAGTATTCACACAAGGAGGGGGATACCTTCTTTCTTCTTAACCCCACCCACCCGCTTCTTCCAGCTGTATTCCCCTCTTGCATTTGTGCATTGATTTTTATATTGGAGTTGAAGACGGTAAAAAATTGCCTAAAGCAGATACAGTGGTACCTTGGTTCTCAAGCACCTTGGTACTCAAATGCCGAAAACATGGAAGTAAGTGTTCCGGTTTTCGAACGTTTTTTGGGAGCCAAACGTCCAATGTGGCTGTTGGCTGTTGTTTCCGGGGCATCTGCACCAGTCAGAAGCTGTGCCTTGGTTTTTGAACATTTCGGAATTCAAACGGATTTAGTGGTGTGTGTTCTGAATGCCATAGCTGACTAACTGGCAAGCCAATTAATAGATTAATTTCTAGATCTCAAAATGCAAAAGGTTGTTGTTCCAACCCGTAGTTGTTCATGCATGTGCAGCTTTTACCAAATCCAGCACCCTCTGATTGCTTTTAAGTTTTTAGATCTGCTTTCTTTGAATTTGTCCTTAAGTGTCACAAAGCAGTGAATTGTTAAACGGCAGAGTAGATGTTGTACCGCATCACTTCATCTGATTAAAATGCGCTTGAAGATTATCTGTTCTGTATTGGTGCCTAGTAACCTAATGCTGTCTTGGAGACATAAAACCTTCCCTCTCTTGTTTTTTTTTATGCCCAGAGTTATTTGTTATGCATTTTTGCTAGGATTAGTATTACATTCCTTCAGTTGTATTTAGTAATGCCTGTGATTTCTTTTGTACTTTGTCACTAAAAATTAAATCCTAAACGAACACTTAATCTGTAGCTCTGATTTGGCTTAGAGTAATCACATTTTAAAGATGTAGTCTTCCTAATTTTTAAATAGCCAGTTTCCTTATTGAGTGAGGTCTGAACATTTTAAAATAAGTTTAATCCCCCCTCCATGTTTTATGGGCGCCAAAATATTTGTCAAGTGCTTTCCTCATTATCCAAAACTCAGATGTAGGCATAGAATCATAGAATCATAGAGTTGGAATAGACCACAAGGGCCATCGAGTCCAACCCCCTGCCAAGCAGGAAACACCATCAGAGCACTCCTGACATATGGTTGTCAAGCCTCTGCTTAAAGACCTCCAAAGACGGAGACTCCACCACACTCCTTGGCAGCAAATTCCACTGTCGAACAGCTCTTACTGTCAGGAAGTTCTTCCTAATGTTTAGGTGGAATCTTCTTTCTTGTAGTTTGGATCCATTGCTCCGTGTCCGCTTCTCTGGAGCAGCAGAAAACAACCTTTCTCCCTCCTCTATATGACATCCTTTTATATATTTGAACATGGCTATCATATCACCCCTTAACCTCCTCTTCTCATGAACTTGTTTTTGGTGCAGAAATCAAAACCCAGACTTTTACAGAAAAAAGAAGAAGTTATACTTAGCTGTTACAGAGCTGGGCATATATTTGAAAAGTGAAACTCCTGTTTGTGAAAGGCTTAAGTGTTAAGGATAATGCATGCATTTAAATTTGTCTTTCTGTTTTATATTGGGATCATATGTCACAGCATCTGTGATCTTTTTTCTCACCTAGCTAGCTCTCTGTTTCTTGCACTATTTCTCACTTTCCCCAAAATGTAACAATATTTGCACATCTCTAATGTTAGGCCAGGTAGAAAAACTATACAAATTGAATGAGCTGCACTATTTGGGGATAAAGCCTATAAATGGGAATGTTGGTTTGCATAATTTGGGTGTATTTTACTTCACCCTAAGTGTGAAAAATCAGTGTTGTATAGCATAATCCTAATCATTTTTACTTGGAAGTGATTTCAGTGGGAACTACTTCTGGTTAAATTTGGTTACTGTTGAATTGCAAGGAGCCTAAACAGTGACATTTCTTCCTGACTTGGTCACAGCCTTTTATGGTTATTGTGAGCCCATATGAGCAATGTGCCTGCCTCATATACCCCAAGTAAATGTGCAAGACACAAGTGTTCTCATAAAAGCAACTGTATTATAAATGTTTGATGTGCTATAGCAAAGAAGTCCCAGGACCCCAGCATTTGAGACAAATTTCTGTAACCCAAACTTTTTTCTTCACAGGTCTGACTGGGAAGATAATAAAAGCAATACTTGATGGAGGATTTGATATTTCAGCCTTGCAGATGGTAACTCTTTCTTCTTGGTCTTTGATCAGACCTTTTCTCTGATGAGATGAGGGAAAAGCAGCCTTTGCCACCTGTTGCACCCTCTCCTACACTAGCTTTTTAATGCGTTTCACCTGGGCAAAGCCTTGCCTTCCAGCAGCAACCCCATACATATCAGCTGCCTCTTACACCTGCCTCTTTTTAAAGGGTGTCAGGTTCCCAGTCTGCTCTCTTGCAGAATACAGAAAATAAAAAATTGCCTTTTCAACCCTACTATACTCCTCCAAAATCATTACCAGAGGAGGAGAAACCTATATTTGGGAGTAAATCCCCATTGAAATTGGTTGATAGAAATGGACAGGAACAGGCTGCAAATAGTCTGTATTGAGAAGTGTCTGTCTGGTTTTGCTCACAGAGGAACAGTGAGAGCTGTTGCCTTCTTTCTCAATTATCCACAATTTTTATTCTTGCTGTCTCTCTATTTTTCTTCCTTCCATCTCAACAGGTGGGTAAACAACACCTTATTATGCTGCATTTCAATATAAGCTCAGTTCCTTTTGGCTGACTTTGACTAAGGCTGACTTTGACTTATGAAGGTTACTTAGTCTTTAAAACTGGAATAATGCTAGCCAGTTTGTCAGAACTGACTTAGGTAGTAGGTGAATATGCATGTTTTACACACACACACACACACACACATATATATAGGTAAAGGGACCCCTGACCATTAGGTCCAGTCACGGACGACTCTGGGGTTGCGGTGCTCATCTTGCTTTACTGGCCGAGGGAGCCGGCATACAGCTTCCGGGTCATGTGGCCAGCATGACTAAGCTGCTTCTGGTGAACCAGAGCAATGCGCGGAAATGGCGTTTACCTTCCCGCCAGAGTGGTACCTATTTATCTACTTGCACTTTGACGTGCTTTCGAACTGCTCGGTGGGCAGGAGCAGGGACCGAGCAATGGGAGCTCACCCTGCTGCGAGGATTCGAACTGCCAACCTTCTGATCGGCAAGCCCTAGGCTCTGTGGTTCAACCCACAGTGCCACCCGTGTCTGTCTGTCTGTGTGTGTGTTTATATATGCCATTATTTAGACAGTTGTCTATTATTTATTATTATTTATTACTTCAATTTGTATCCTGCCATGGTGCTCATGGCTGCTAACAGCGACAAGATAAAAATACAGTAGAGGTGCTAAAGGTTATTTAACCAACACAAATACAAAAGAGCAGATAAAAGTCAGAACAATAAAAATCCAAGTATAAAAACAGTTAAAACAATTAAACACCTTGAGCATTGCAATGAACAAGTTGCCCTGGCAGGCCAAAGGTTTGTCAAAATGAAAAGGTATTTACTTGGCACTGGAGGGTCAACAGACAAGGGGGCAATTGAACTGTGGGAGGGAGGGAGCCCAAAGCTGGAGCACAGACACTGAAAAGGCCTTCTCTTGTGTCCCTGCCAAATGCACTCTAGAAAATGGCAGGACTGAGAAAAGGGCTTCCCTAGCAGGCTCCTACAGGGAAAGGTGTTCCTTCAAGTAACCTGTTTCCAAGCCAGCTAGTGCTTGCATAATGAATACTGTAATGCTTACCTTTCTAATGTAGAGTGGTACCTTGGCTGTCGAACAAATCGGCTCCCAAACATTGCAAACTTGGAAGTGAGTGCTCCGGTTTGTGAACGTTATTTGTAAGCTGAACATCACGTGGCTTCCACAGTTTCCAATTGAGTGCAGGAAGCTCCTGCATCCAATTGGAAGCCACGCCTTGGTTTTCGAACCGTTCCGGGACTCCCAACGGATTAGATTCGAGAACTAAGGTACGGCTGTATTTAGATTCTCCTTGTCATGTGGCTCTCTGACCCCAGCATGAATGTGCTGTATATTCCCTCTTCCCCTCCATTTAACAGAGTTGAACTTGCAGTGGCGGGGAATGGAATCTTTTTTTAAAATGTGCTTTGTTGAGTTTTGTACAATCTAAATGGTACACAAAAGAGCAGCAATAAAATAAAACAAATACGGGTATCCTGTGATTTGTTTGATAAGATGAGACATACATGTGGAAAACAGAAAAAAAAGAATGAATCACAAATGGGATCTTGATCTCCGGTGTCTTTTAAATTTTTATCAGCTTTTCTACATAATACTGTGTGAGGGATTAATTGAGAAATAAGTTAACGTCTCCTCAGGTTGTGTATGAAAAGAAATGGGGCAACAATAATGCTTGGAGATGTATACACTTGTTCCCACTGTACACATAATAAATACTTTTCCTTTCTGTTCTTTCTTACATGCAGTTCTATATGGACCGCGCAAATGCAGAGGAATTCTACTCAATTTACAAAGGTGTTGTTGCTGAATATGCTGTAAGTAAGCGCTATAAAGTCTCTCTTTGTTTCAGGGCCCATTTTGGATAGAATCTTAATGGACCGTCCTGAAGGCTTATTGTCAAGGGCATGGCACAAGCTTTGAGGGATTATAAAGTCACTTTTCAGTGCTGCTCTTCACCTCAGCCGCAAAGATTTCAACCTAGTAATGCTTTTGAATTGGCAAGACAGACTGCGCAAGTAATGATTTTAGTTTGGCTCAACATAAAACTTGTCTTTTTCAAATATTTTAATGGATAGTGAAACACGGCAAGAGTTGTATTTGATATTGCTGCAGTGGCTGAGTTGAATAGCTTTCTTCCAGCAAAAATTCTTGATACTAAGAGGCTTGGTTGCAACATAACCAAATGGATAGTGTCTGTATTTTTTAAGATCACTTACCTCACACTGAAAAATGATATATGCATTGCGACTTCCTTTGTCCCTGCCAGCAGCAGCTGGTGATGTGGAAAGGAGGCATGGAAAACCACAGCATGATGTTTCATTCATTCATTCTTTCATTTATTTATATACTGCATTTCCACAAGGTTGTATTCAAGCTGGTTCACTACATGTCAGATGAACATATCAATACAACAATTTAAAATTAAAGTATTAGCAATTCCAAATAAACCTTAGTGTCAGTAAGTAAATCCATGATAAGTATCAGTCAAGCCATACAACTAAAGCAACCAAATAACACAATAGAAATAAAGCTGATTTGTCCAACAGCTTAAAATTGAACATAAGAGAGAATGAAGCTTAATCAAAGAAATAAAATATACGGTTTATTCCAAAGGGGTGATGTTGTGGTATGGAATAAGTTCTCTTATGGATCAGTAATTGTTTAAAGAACAGGATGTAAAGAGAAGGAATAAATGGACACTTCAAGCAATGGAAGGATGCAAAAGATGGAGTCCCTCAAGGATTTGTATTAGGATCTGTGCTTTTTCACTTTTTCATTGATTGAAACCAGAGGTGGCCACAGTGGTGGTCTGATGAGAATCACTATGTCAGTGAAGTTGAAGAATGCAAACTAGCCCAAGAATATATAAAAATCATGAGAGAACTGACACATTTCATTAGGAACATTTCTGTTAGAATGGATAGAACTGCCTTTGAAAACAACATACAGAGAGTGGTCTGGGCTGGCTTAGATTTTCTTAAAACAAGAAATGATGCAAATTGATATACAGTGCAGAGTAAAAGGTATAAAAACATTTATCAATCTGTTCCTTTTTCCTGTTGCAGGAGATGGTTGTAGAACTTTGCTCAGGCCCTTGTGTCGCTCTAGAGATTAGGCAAGTAGATCCTGAAAAAGTATTCAGAGACTTCTGCGGGCCTTCCGATCCGGTAAGTAACTTACTTGAGAAGTTTGTATTGGGGCCAAAGCAAAAATGATGCATGAGGATTGAGATTGTCTCCATCAAAGTTTTTGGTTTTTACTTTAAAGGAGCCTAGAGGCAGTTGGCTTTGTTTTTTATTGGAATTTAGAAAATCTCCCAGGAAATCTAAAATTCCTTCCAAAGCTGCTATTAGTCCTACAGGGGAAAATATACCTGCATGATGCAGATGCCTAACACCCTGTCAGATGCTGTTGTGGTTGCTCGAGAGTAACCAGGCAGGACTCCGACCTGTCTTTTACAGGCTTTATTTTGGTGCAAACTATTTACAGTGCAGAACATCATAAGTTCATGTCTGGCTCAATCGCTAGCGGAATCCGGGAGTTGTCTGTTCTTGTACCTCCCCCAACATAAAAGTTTAGTCACCCCCAGCCTTTTCCGCCCCTCCCTGGGCCTCAAGCTACTGCACATGATGGGTGAAGGCAGGGGTGTGCTTTCCTCCTCTCCGGCTTTCTCAGGCGTGGTGTTAAGGCTCGCTCTTGCACCTCTTCTCCACTGGAGGTGGGGGTTTCCTCCTCGCTGGAAGAGGAACTGCTTCGCAAGATTTTTGGAGGCTCCCTGTAACACAATTCCCCCTCTATCTCTCGCCTCTGCGCCGATGGCAGTTCCCTGACACACCCCATACCCCACCTTGGGAAAAGTGGGTATCATAGCAGCTGCAGTGGAAAATAGATGGGGCAATGGGGGAGGGAAGCGTTAAAAACTCTACCTTAGTGCGGCTTCTCCAGTCAAAACAGAACCCCCCCTCCCTATAGCTTCTTCAAAGTTCAAAAATTGGGTAGATTCAAGTGTAGATCTCTTGTGTTGCGTCTGATTTGCTACTCTGTTTTAAAAGGAATGGACAAATCTGTTAATTTCACTTTATTTGAGTTTTTCATTTCTCTAGTCTCCAGTTTGCCACATTACTTTTTTTAAAAAATGTCCTCATGGAAATTCATCAGCATTTATCCTACTTATACACATTACCTCAAGCAGTTTCCCCTAATAAAATGCATTTTTAATTTAATTTTAATGAATATATTTATTTATAGTTGTTCACATATTTTGGTTTTTTAAAGATACCTGTGCTTTGGTTTCCAAATTGATCTGAAAGGTATGAATTAGGTAGGTTCTATTAAAATGCAAACCAGATTTCTCCCCCACCCCTTCTGTGTGGCAGCATAGTAACAGCTAACAACTTTAGAAGCCTACATTTGAAAAAATGTTCTATTCAGCTAATATAATGATCACTTAGAGTCATGGTTTACAAGCATAAAGGAAGCTGCACCTTAACATGTGTCATTTTTGTTGCTGTCATGATTATTTATGCAGCTATGACCATTGCTAAGCCTTCTTTGCATTAGATATGAAAGTACATCACTGGAGTACTAGTTAAGCTACTCTAATCTATGCCAATTCAGTGCTTGTTACTCAGAAAGCAGTGTGAACAACCATACTTTAGGATATTTGCCTCTTGCTACTAAGCCATGTTGGCAACACTGCAGCTCATACTGAGCTACTGTTCTACTGGGCTAGTGTTGTTGTCAAAAAGGGGTAAAAGTGATGCAGACATTTAATAAACCTAACTATCTGTAAGATGGCACAGATGGAAGGGATCAGGCCATAGATCTATGGCAGAGCATCTGCCTTGCACGCAGAAGGTCCCAGGTTCAGCCCCCAGCATCTCTAGGTAGGGCTGGCAAACATTCCTGCCAAAACCCTGAAGAGCTGCTACCAGTTAGTGTAGGCAGTGTTGAGCAAGATGGGCCAATTGTCTGACTCGCTATAAAGCAGCTTCCTCTGTTTACTATGACACTGGTAGCCGCTGCCAGATTAAATATTTTAAATATTTAATCTGGCTATTAAATATTTTAAATGCTAGCAAAAATCAGACTCTACAAGTTGACTGCTTAAACAGTCATGATTCTACTAGTGCAGTCCTATGCACATTGATTTCGAAGGGAGTCCCTTGTGTTTAAAAGAGGTTACTCCCATGTAAGGCTGCGCTTCCTACTTATGAAGGAAGGAAGCCCCATTGAATTCAATGGGAGTAACTTCTGTGAATGTATGTCTAGGAGGAAGGATCTAGATACATTCAGATTGGAGCAAGCGCATTGTCGTCTTCTGATGACTCTCTTGCGGAATTCCACACCCGAGAAACAATGAATTACTTACTGTGACGGTAAAACAACTTAGCATATTTGAAGGCAGATGAGTTTATGATTACAAATAATTAGGCTGCTCTTCACATTGCACTAAGCAATGCAAACAGAAGGGAAAATGGATTCTCCGTCAATGACAGACCGTTATCGACTGGAGTTAGAAAACAGATCAATAAGAAGCTGCAATTAGTATGTCATGCTGTCTGTGGCTGTCTCTAACGGAAAGGACATGGTTGGATTTTTTCAAATGTTATTTAGGGTCAAATATAATCAGTGTTCCTTTTCCTTATTAAAGATAAAATAAATTCTATATTGCATACACTAGTTATTGTCAGTCTGCTAGAAACTTTGTATTTTAAGGTGTTTGCTTCTGAAATGGGTAAAAGGGCTTCTGAGCATGTGCAGGTCTGTCTCTGTCACTCCAGGGCACCATGGGTGCTGGCCATGCCCCCAGCCAGTGTGTGATTGCCATTATTCTAAAGGGGACTATTTCTATGTGTGTAAGGTTGGGTTCCCAATCCCCATGTTAGAAACCTTCCACGTCATACCATATTTTTAAAAGTTTCTACTGGGCTTTAATCCAAACATCATTTGTATGTGTGAGTTGAAAACAATAGCTTCAAAATGCTGTGAACTTTTGAAACATTCCTGAAAAGCGTTCAATATTTGGTTTTTAACTCCATCCTGAACTCTAATGACTCTATGAAGCAGTTCTCCCATTTATTTCGGGGGGGGGGGGGTATCACGTCCCTGCTCGTTAACTACAACTTCATATTCCTGTGTAAAAGTACAGCCTCTCCATGAAAAAAAATTCAACACACCCATCAGAAAGAAATTTTTTGAAGAATGGCTGTTATCAGCCGGATAATTTGATCATACCAACCCTCTGTGCAGAAATCTGGGAATGCTTAAGATATATCAGGATATATCAATAGAGGCTAGGTCTGTCAATGGAGAATCAGGTGAACACCTTTATTAGCAAAAAATAAAAATAAAAATAAAAATCTGAATTTGTGTTGTTAGAGCTATATTGTGTGCATATGCAATATATTCTGTGCTAGAGGAAACATTCCTGTTTTAACAAAACAGCCGCTGCCACCATTTGCAATAGCTGACAGCCAGAGCAGCTGCAGCGTGAGCTTTTGACTCTGTTGTTCCTTTCTCATTGTCTTATAAACCATTCATTGAACAAAGCCTTTTTAAAAGCAAAAACCAACAACCCTGAATGTGAAACGTGGGCGACTAAATGACTGTTCGGTGGATTAATAATTTAGGGTTTGCTCACTGGTCTGTTCAGCTTGCTTCTCCTTTCTACTGCAAGACAACCTGACCAGAATTTTGATCAGTTTATTTCTTTGCAGTATCACAAACATCCCTGACTAACCAAATTTGAGATTATTATTTTTTTAAAAAAAGAAAGATGCAAACAATACTAAATATAACTGTTTTGTGTCGCTTCATTTCAGATGTGCAGGGATAATTCCCAGTGAACCAGCATGGCACTGAGAAGGGTGTTGACAACAATTCTGGGCTATTTTAAAATCCCAGCTCTGGGTTAGGAGGGCACAGCTTCTCTTACTACCGCACTCAGGGCCATTTCTCACCTCATGCAGAGCAAGCCAAAGAATACAACCCACAGGGAGCTGTAGCCAATCACAAAGCCTAACGTTTAATGTGTAGTGCTGCAGTGCCACATTTTGAATATTCATTTCTATGCTTCTTTGCTTTGCTGTGTACATACCACACAGTTAAAGCATATCTATCCTCCGCTAAAGAATCCTGGGAAATGTAGTTTGTTAAGGGTGCTGTTGCTCAGTGAGGTGTAAACTATAATTCCCATTATTATTCTTTTTGTGTGTGTGCATGCTTTAAATATATGGTATGTATGCAGCCTTAGTCTAGTCCATGGGTAGGCAAACTAAGGCCTGGGGGCCGGATTCGGCCCAATCACCTTCTAAATCCAGCCAGCACTCAGCGTGTTTTTACATGAGTAGAATATGTCCTTTTAAAATGCATCTCTGGGTTATTTGTGGGGCATAGGAATTCGTTCATTATTATTTTTTCCAAAATATAGTCCGGCCCCCCACAAGGTCTGAGGGACAGTGGACTGCCCCCCTGCTGAAAAAGTTTGCTGACGCCTGGTCTAGTCAGCTCAAAAGTTATGAACTCCATCTTGGAATGTGATTTTATTTTAGACTGTGATGACTGGCAGGAGTGTAGAGCTTTATCCACTACTCCAAAAGCCCCCAGAATTTCAAAACTATGCAAGATTGTTTAGATAAAAGCTTCTCCTTGCATGCAGAACAATTTTATACAGGTGCTGAACTTATTAAAGCCCTAAGTGGCTTTGGGAGCCAAATGCCTGAAGGAGCGTTTCCTCCCCCACCAGTCTTCCTGTGCCTCAAGTTCTTTAATTAAGGCCCTTCTCCAAATACCATTATTTATGTATTTATAGCCTCTGCTTAATCATGTTGTGTGTTTGTTAATCTTATTGCTGGAATCCATTAGATGAAGGGTAGTCGAGAATTCCTTAAAATAAAATGTTTTACTCAAAAGTCAATCCACCTAAGTTGGGTGGGATTTAGTAAGTGGGTTTCGGATTGCAACCCTAGCCAGGCATTACAGTAGTTTGTTTTGTGAAGGTACATACAATTGATGAGTGCATCTACACCAGTGGTGGTCCAATACATTTTGCTACTAGAGGCAAAGGACAAGATGGTATCCCCACCTTCCATTCCTGCTGAACTAGGAGCTGAATCTTAACTTCAGCAGTGATGATATCATCTTGTGAATCTGGGGCAGCAGGCTA